CCCCTTCCCAAAATTACTTCAACGGAAGGTTTCCAGAAGGATATGCGGAGCAAATCCATCTGGCGGAGTCAGGTTAGCACATTATGTCCTGAGCTTCAGGAACAGCCCAGTCTATTACAAAGTCCTTGATATTTCCATGCCGGCGCTTCAAGGCAGCGGCCAAGAACAGCTCCTCTTGGGAATTTCACAGAATATGGTGCTTAAAACGATACAAACTAGACTTCAAACCCGCATCTATGATCGCCAACGCCTGCTGGAGCTACGGTCACAAAATGGGTTAAATACTGACATTTTTTATCTAGCGGTTCAGAAATCGCTAAAAGCACTGAACTCAGCTTTCAAGTCTTTTTATAAAGATGCACTGAGAACAACGCGTGCTAACTTGAACAGAAAACTGAAACTAGCAGCTGCCTGTGAGATTTAAAATTATGATGTACAGAAGATAAATTTCTCAGTTCATTTATATTTGGAAATCAAATGAGAGTGAATATGTTTGCTTTCCCAGAAGGTATAAAGGATGTTAATGAATGGAGGTATAGATAATACAAATAATTTCCTAATCATTTTTCTCTCTTTCGCTTCTTTTCTACTAAATTGTATAATCCAGATTACAATTTTCCAGCCTCTGAACATCCTTCTAAGGCAGACTCATGTCTTTACTTTTTTTTGTTTGTTCTTCATATGCTGGTGCAAAGATTCTTCTTTAGTTTTTTTTTTCTTATTGTTATCATTTATGTATTAAAGATAAATCATTTTAGAAAAAAGAAGGAGAGTCTTGACAGAAACGGCTCCATGGGCGAGATCTTCCTCCTATGGAAGCCCTTTTCCCCCACATGAAAATAAAAAGTGCCAAATAAAAAGTCGTAATTATGAGATTCAAAGTCATACTTTTCACTTTCAAAGTCATAATTATGATACAAAGTTTTAAAGTCAAAAATCTCATAATTATGACTTTGTACTTTTAATTTGTTTTACTTTCATGTGGCAGAAACGGGCTTCCATATCCTCCTCTGTGAGTCATGC